GGGAGGAGGGAGAGGGAGAAGAAGGGAGGGAGGGAAGGAGGTGGGAGAAGAAGGGAGGAGGGAAGAAGAGGGAAAGGGAGGGAGGTGGAGAGGAGAGAAAGGAGGGAGGAAAGAGAGAAGGAGAAGAAGAGAGGGGAGGAGGGAGGGAGAGGGAAAGAGGGAGGGAAGGAGGAGGGAGAGAAGGAGAAGGGAGGGAGGAGAGGGTGGGAGAAGGAGGGAGGGAGAGGGAGGAGGAGGTGGAGAGGAGAGGAGAAGAAAGGAGGAAGGAGAGGGAGGGAGGGAGGGAGTGGAGAGGGAGGAAGAGGGAGGGAGGGGTGGGAGGGGAGAAGAAAGAGGAAGGGTGGAGAGAGAGAAAGGAGGAGAGGGGAGAGAGGAGGGAGGCAGAAGAAGGATAGAGAGGGGAAGAAGAAGGAGGGGAGGAGAAAAGAGAGGGAAGGAAGATGGAGAGGGAGGAGAGGGAGAATGAAGACAGGGAGAGAAGGAATGAGGGTCTTGCATTATTACCGATGTACCTCAGGTGTGTGGGTTCAGAAATCGCTGGTCTCGCCCTTGCAAAGACCGGTAAAGACTTGCACAGGAGAGGCAACACGAAAGCAAGCAAAGAGACGTCAACGATGCCCCATACTCTGCAACCTGATTTGTAGAGAATAATAGATTTTTCTCTCAGCCGGTTAGGAGGTAAGGGGGACTGCGAAAAATTAATAGTCTACCGGTAGCTCTCTCTTGGTATTTATCTGACGTGCCCTGTGAGTAGAGTGTCTCGATTGTTTCTCCCTGGCGTGGCTTGTGAATTCCGTGCCTTCATTCCCCCCATACGTGCCCTGTAAATGCTGTCTCTTAATTCCCTCATACGTGCCTTGTAAACGCTGTGTCTCTTAATTCCCTCGTACGTGCCTTGTAAATGCTGTCTCTTAATTTCCCCATACGTGTGTAACGCTGTGTCTCTTAATTCCCTCATATGTGCCCAGTAATGCTGTGTCTCTTATTCCTCATATGTGCCTGTAAATGCTGTGTCTCTTAATTCCCTCATACGTGCCCTGTAAATGCTGTGTCTCTTAATTCCCTCATACGTGCCTGTAAATGCTGTGTCTCTTAATTCCCTCATACGTGCCCTGTAAATGCTGTGTCTCTTAATTCCCCGTCGCAAACGCTGTGCTTAATTCCCTCGTACGTGCCCTGTAAACGCTGTGTCTCTTAATTCCCTCATACGTGCCCTGTAAACGCTGTGTCTCTTATTCCCTCATACGTGCCCTGTAAACGCTGTGTCTCTTAATTCCCTCATACGTGCCCTGTAAATGCTGTATCTGTTAATTCTCCCTGACATGTCCTGTAATTCCTGTGCCTCGATCCATTCTTGGCATCTGGCAGTTCTTTTCTTTCTCGTGGCTTATGCTTGTGCTCTCTCCGAGTGTGCAATGAGCTTCATGTAGGTCGGTGAGCATCGGAAAACATAACCTCAGCCATATTTGGAGTTCGGATGACCTGACACTCTGCCAGGGCCTTCCTTCTGTAAGCAGAGATTCCTGACCTGCTTTATAATAGCCGACAATTCTTGTAAGGTGACCACAAGCTATCATTCTTCATTCTTCTGAAGGCGACCACAAGCAGGTGAAGTTCTTAGTATTCTTCCGAACTCGAGGAACCAGCCAGAGGAGGATGTTGTCAAAGAGCACACCGGAAAGCAAGGGTTCCAGAACATAGCCCTGTGGTATGCTGGAACCCACAGTGTTCTCGCTTAGTTTGTTCCCGTTGAGTGAAATGCGGGTCGCTCTCCACTGGTCGTGCAAAGGAAGCAGCTGACCGTCAGTTTAAGGCTAAGATAGGTGGTGTCCGGTTGTAACCAATGGTACTTTTCCCAACATCCCAGGCATGGAAACAAGAAGGGTTGAGTGTTTGTATGTCAGAATATATATAGGTATTTTGATATAAGGACTGGCACTATGTTTTAGTTTCTTAGAATGATAATGCACCAACAATTTTTTTTTACATATTATATATATATTATGTCTCCCCTCCAACTCCCCCTCCTCTCTCCCTCTTTCTCTCTCTCTCTCTCTCTCTCTCTCTCTCTCTTCCCCTCTCTCCATTCTCCATCTATCTATTTATCTATCTAATATAGCATTTGCCTAACCCTCTCTGTCTTTCCCCAGTTCCTCCATCCCTGCTTCGTTCTCCACCTTTCTTCCCTCTTCCTTTTCTTTCACCTCAAGGCCTACATTTCCATTTTCATTGTTTTCGTTCCGTCGTGCCGAATGTGGCCGACCAGCTCTCACTCCGTCCATGCGAAACCAATCATTTAAATTTCAGAATATGAAGTTTGATTTACCAGACACAGCTGGAATTCTTGCTCTACAGTCTTGTGCTATCCATCTTCTTATTTCATCTATCTTTATTTTCATTATATTTATTGCCTTAACTTCACTTCATTCCGTTTTGGGGTCCGCGTCTGCTTCCTGGTTCAACGGTTCGGAGCGGGTCAATGAGTCACTTGGAATATCTTTTTTTTTATTTTTAGGTCAGTTCCCCCTTCAGGCCGCCAAGCATGATAACAGAAAACGGGATGCGCGTTGGGCTCTGAAAGTTTCGGTCTTGGTCAAATATTTGTCTTGCCACGTCCAGAAAAAGTCTTTTCGAAGTCGTTCTTTCCTTTTTCTCCTGCTTTATCATTCTCTGTTTGATTCTCTTTGCGTCTTTCATTTGTCTTTTTGGCGTCTCTTAGTGGGTCGGTGTTGTGTTTAGGGGAGAAGGAGAGAGGGAGAGAGAGGAGAGAGTGAGTTACTCTCTTTCTCTCCTCTCCCTCCCCCTCCCTCTCTAATAGCCTTTCTTCCTCCCTCTCTCTCTCTCATTCCCCCCCCCCCCCTCTCTCTCTCTTTCTCTCTCTCTCTCTATCTGCCTTATCAACATTTCTCTCTCCTCTCTCTCTCTCTCTCTCTCTCTCTCTCTCTCTCTCTCTCTCTCTCTCTCTCTCTCTCTCTCTCTTTTCTCTCTCTCTCTCTCTCTCTCTCTCTCTCTCTCTCTCTCTCTCTCTCTCTCTCTCTCTCTCTCTCTCTCTCTAAGAGATCTTCGAGCATGTACCAATTTTCAAGACATTTTCCCCGGGTAATAGCCTGTATTTCTCTATCCCTCCCTCCCTTCCTCGCTCTCTCTTTCTCTCTCTCTCTTTTCGTGTTGATTTCCATCACCTCAGTCACAGTTCAAATTTAATTCCAAAGTAACACGTCTTTTACATGTCTGGAAAAAAAATAACTAACAACTCATGGACTCAATTGCGACTTAAACTTAATTGCTGAACTGATTTCGATCTGCGGATGACCTAAGTTCTCGTGAAATGTTGACCTTATACTAAATCGTTTTTTTAGCAGGCGATTCCGCCATTTTTTCCACTTCTTTTATCAAGGTTGATCGCATTTCTACTCGATACGAAAATAATCAATCCAGCAGTGTGAGGTTTTCAGGTTTTGGTTGAGTTATCCCTGGAAAAGGAAAACCCGCCAAAACTGCCCGTTTTTTGTTATCTCTTCAAAGCTACTGGTTTGTTATACTGATAAATAACACCAGATACGATGTAGTTATTCTTGTGTTTCATTTTTTCGTTGTTATTGTTTTTTATTAGGGGGGGGTATTTATATCACATGTGTATCATTTTTATTTTTACTTGGAATTTAATTAGCCATTGAGGCAGACCGGACAGTTCGAAGTATTGTAAAAAAAAAATCGTTATTTACTGCTTTCGTTATTTGCTTACTTGATTTTTTGGTCCACCCTTGTCAACTTTCGATCGATAGGTTTATGTCATAAGTCGATGCCAGTATTTGAATAAACATTAGTATAACGAACAGTGCCTTGGCGATTCACTATTCCGACGCCATGACAGTTTCTAATGCGAAAGTTAACATTCAAAATCGCTTTTTAACATTGATGATTTTTAACCAGATATCGACTATAAGTTAGGTTAGGTTAAGTTAATTTAAGTTGAGTTGAGTTGATTTGAATTAAGTTGAGTTGAGTTGAGCTGAGTTTGGGTAAGTTAAGTTAAGTTGGGTTATTTAGGGCTTCCAAAAACTAATAATTCTACGTCTGGAGAATATGATACGGGTACGCCAGATTTTCTTGAAACTCAAAATACATAATTTGTAACTGAATGTAATTTTATATTCATCTATGTGAGAATTTCTTCGGCTTGTGAAAATCGTGGTGTTTATTGAGGAATTTATACTAGATCTATCAGACCAGAGATAAATAGAGAAATAAAAACAAAATGATACAATACATTCATGCACCCTCCCCCCCCCCCCCCATCCCGCACACACAGGTAAAATGGTATATTGAATTTTATCCTGTATATTTAGGTGTTAAACTATGGCCTGTATGATCTTATGAGTTAAAAAAACTTTTTTCTTGCCCTCAGAATTGGTACAGTGTTAAAAATATTTTTGAACAGTTTTGTGTAGAAATAAGGAATTATCATTTTATTCTTTATATATGGTATCACATCTCTCTCTCTCTCTCTTCTTTATCTCCCTATCAATCTATCTATCTTTATCTTTATCTTTATCTCTCTCTCTCTCTCTCTCTCTCTCTCTCTCTCTCTCTCTCTCTCTCTCTCTCTCTCTCTCTCTCTCTCTCTCTCTCTCTCTCTCTTCTCTCTCTCTCTCTCTCTCTCTCTCTCTCTCTCTCTCTCTCTCTCTCTCTCTCTCCCTCCCTCCCTCCCTCCCTCTCTCTCCCTCAATCCCTCTCTCTCTCCCCACCCTCTGCTCCCTTCTCCCTCCCCCCTCCTCACCCCCACCTTCCATCCCTCTTCCCCTCATCCCCACCCCCATCTCTTCATCTCCCCCCCTCTCCCCAATCTCATCCCCCCCTCCCCCTCTCTCACCCCCCCCCATCTCACACAGAACCACCTCCCTCACCCCCCTCTTCTCCTCTCTCCCCCCCCTCTCACCCCCCCCCATCTCACACAGAACCACCTCCCTCACCCCCCTCTTCTCCTCTCTCCCCCACAGCTCCAGGAGGATGCTTCGCCGGCGCCTTGGGGTGGTGTTCACGGCCGCCCTCCTCACGCCCGCATTCGTGCTCTTCTTCATCTCCAGTCCGGGTGAGTTTGGGGTGGTGGGTGGGGTGGAGGTGGGGTGGAGTGGGGTGGGTGGGGGGTGGGGTGGGTGGGGTGGGGTGGGGTGGAGTGGGGTGGGGTGGGTGGGGTGGGTGAGTGGATGGGGTGGGTGGGGGGTGGGGTGGGGTGGGTGGGGTGGTGTGGGTGGAGTGGGTTGGGGTGGTGGAGGGGGTGGAGTGGGTGGAGTGGGTTGGGTGGGTGGGTGGGTGGGTGGGTGGGTGGGTTGGGGTGGTGGTGGGGTGGGTGCCTGTGACGTCACAGTTTGTGACGTCACGATAGATAAATGATGACGGATAGTGATCCCTGCGGATGTGACGAGATAGTGGTATGGTTTGACGTCACAGATAGATAAATGATCCCTGGTTTGTGACGTCACAGATAGATAAATGATTGTATGGTTGTGACGTCACAGATAGATAAATGATCCCCTTCGTATGGTTTGTGACGTCACAGATAGATAAATGATGGTTTGTGACGTCATCGATAGATAAATGATGGTTTGTGACGTCACAGATAGATCCCTTCGTATGGTTTGTGACGTCACTCCCTTGTATGGTTTGTGACGTCACAGATAGATAAATGATCCCTTCGTATGGTTTGTGACGTCACAGATAGATAAATGATTCCCTTCGTATGGTTTGTGACGTCACAGATAGATAAATGATCCCTTCGTATGGTTTGTGACGTCACAGATAGTATGGTTTGTGACAGACGTCAGATAAATGATCCCTTCGTTTGTGACGTCACAGATAGATAAATGATCCTTCGTATGGTTTGTGACGTCAAGATAGATAAATGATCCCTTCGTATGGTTTGTGACGTCACAGATAGATAAATGATCCCTTCGTATGGTTTGTGACGTCACAGATAGATAAATGATCCCTTCTGACGTCAGATAGATAAATGATCCCTTCGTATGGTTGTGACGTCACAGATAGATAAATGATCCCTTCGTATGGTTTGTGACGTCACAGATAGATAAATGATCCCTTCGTATGGTTTGTGACGTCACGATAGATAAATGATCCCTTGTATGGTTTGACGTCACAGATAGGATAATGGTTTGTGACGTCACAGATAGATAAATGATCCCTTCGTATGGTTTGTGACGTCACAGATAGATAAATGATCCCTTCGTATGGTTTGTGACGTCACAGATAGATAAATGATCCTTCGTATGGTTTGTGACGTCACAGATAGATAAATGATCCCCTTCGTATGGTTTGTGACGTCACAGATAGATAAATGATCCCTTCGTATGGTTTGTGATCACAGATAATAAATGATCCCTTCGTATGGTTTGTGACGTCACAGATAGATAAATGATCCCTTCGTATGGTTTGTGACGTCACAGATAGATAAATGATCCCTTCGTATGGTTTGTGACGTCACAGATAGATAAATGATTCCCTTTGTATGGTTTGTGACGTCAAAGATAGATAAATGATCCCTTCGTATGTTTGTGACGTCACAGATAGATAAATGATCCTTCGTATGGTTTGTGACGTCACAGATAGATAAATGATCCCTTCGTATGGTTTTGTGACGTCACAGATAGATAAATGATCCCCTTCGTATGGTTTGTGACGTCACAGATAGATAAATGATCCCTATGGTTTGTGACGTCACAGATAGATAAATGATCCCTTCGTATGGTTTGTGACGTCACAGATAGATAAATGATCCCTTCGTATGGTTTGTGACGTCACAGATAGATAAATGATCCCCTTCGTATGGTTTGTGACGTCACAGATAGATAAATGATCCCTTCGTATGGTTTGTGACGTCACAGATAGATAAATGATTCCCTTCGTATGGATGTGACGTCACAGATAGATAAATGATCCCAGCGTATGGTTTGTGACGTCACAGATAGATAAATGATCCCTTTGTATGGTTTGTGACGTCACGATAGATAAAATGATTTCACGAGATAGATAAATGAATGACGTCACAGATAGATAAATGTCGTATGGTTGTGACGTCACAGATAGATAAATGATCCCTTTGTATGGTTGTGACGTCATCGATAGATGATCCCCCTTCGATGGTTTGTGACGTCACAGATAGATAAATGATTCCCTTCGTATGGTTTGTGACGTCACAGATAGATAAATGATCCCTTCGTATGGTTGTGATCAGATAGATAAATGATCCCTTCGTATGGTTTGTGACGTCACAGATAGATAAATGACTTCCTAAGTATGGTTTGTGACGTCATAGATAGATAAATGATCTCTTTCGTATGGTTTGTGACGTCACAGATAGATAAATGATTCCTTGTATGGTTTGTGACGTCACAGATAGATAAATGATCCCTTCTATGGTTTGTGACGTCATCGATAGATAAATGATCCGGATAGATAATGTCCCACTGTGGTTTGTGACGTCACAGATAGATAAATTATCCCAGCGTATGGGATGTGACGTCATAAGGGAGTGGCGCAGGGTTCGTCAAGTTTTGACCCTTTCAGGAAATAGTGGATTATAGAGGATGAGGGAAAAGGAGATGGAAAGGAGAAGGAGAGAGGATGGAGAAGGAGAGGGGGAGGGAGAGGAAAGGAGAAAGAAAGAGGAGAGAGAGAGGGAGGGAGGAAAGGGAGAAGAGAGGGAAAGGTAGAAGGAAAAGGAGAGAGAGGAGAGGGGAGGGAAAGGGAGAAGGAGAGGGAAAAGGAGAGGGAAAGGGAGAAAGAAAGAGAGAAAGAGAGTGAAAAGGAGGAGAAGGAGAGGGAAAGGGAGAAGGAGAGGAGAGGGAGAATGGAGATGGAATGGAGGAAAAGGAAGAGGGATGAGAAGAAAGAAGGAAGAAGAGAAGGAAAATTAAGAAAGGGAGAAGAGAAGACGGAGAATGAGATAGACAGGGAAAAGGAGGAGAGGGAGAAGGTGAAAAAGAAAGAAAAGAAGTGGACAAGAAGAAAGGACAGAAACACAATATGCCAATGATGAAAGCAGAGACCAACTCACCCCTTCAGCGCCGTTAACCCTTTCCCTGTAAAAGCAGCACAGGTGGACACATTCCCCGCGGTTTTATATATATATTATGTCAACGCACGCACGCACGCACATACGTACACACACACACTCATCACTCACACACACACGACACACACCCGCACTCACACACACAACACACACACAACCCCCCCTCCCCCACACACCACACAACAACACACACACCCCCCCTCCCCCAACACCACACACACACACATAACCCCCGCCCCAACACACACACACCCCCTCCCGCACACAACACACACACACAACCCCCGCCCTCCCCCAACACACACACACAAACCCCCGCCCTCCCCAACACACACACAACCCCCGCCCTCCCCCACACACACACACCCCCCCGCCCCCCAACACACACACACAACCCCCGCCCTCCCCCCAACACACACACACAACCCCCGCCCTCCCCCAACACACACACACAAACCCCCGCCCTCCCCAACACACACACACAACCCCCGCCCCCCCAACACACACACACACAACCCCGCCCTCCCCCAACACACACACACAACCCCGCCCTCCCCCAACACACACACACAACCCCCGCCTCCCCCACACACACACACAACCCCCGCCCTCCCCAACACAAACACACAACCCCCGCCCTCCCCAACACACACACAACCCCCCTCCCCAACACACACACAACCCCCCTCCCCAACACACACACAACCCCCCTCACACACACAAACACACACACACAACCCCCCTCCCCAACACACACAAACACAACACACAACCCCCCTCCCCCAACACACACACAACCCCCCTCCCCCAACACACACACAACCCCCCTCCCCCAACACACACACAACCCCCTCCCCCCAACACACACACACACCCTCCCCAACACACACACAACCCCTCCCCCAACACACACACAACCCCCTCCCCCACACACACACACACACAACACACAAACCCCCCTCCCACACAAACACACACACAACCCCCCTCACACAACCAACACACACACACCCCCCTCCCCCAACACACACACAACCCCCCTCCCCAACACACACACAACAACACACACACAACCCCCCCCAACACACACAACCCCCCTCCCCCAAACACACAACCCCATCCCCCACCAACCAACAAACTCCCCCCCACTCCCCAACCAACAAACAACCCCCCCCACCCCCACCAACAAACAAACTCCCCCCCCTCCCCCACCGACAAACTCCCCCAACAAACTCCCCCCTCCCCCAACAAACAACTCCCCCCCCACCAACAAATAAACTCCCCCCCCTCCCCAACCCACAAACACCCCCCCCCCCACCCAACAAACTTCCCTCCCCTCCTCCAACCAACAAACTCCCCCCTCTCCCCCCACCAACACACAGTCATCCACCAACCCACCTATGAATAGTGAGCAGAAACCGAACACCTGTTAGCGACTTCTGTTCCATTCGACGGTGGCGGCGGCGGCGGGTCGTAGCGAGCAGTTATAACAGTCCGATAACTCTTCGAACGAACACCTATTTTTTTTTTCACTCCTGTCGGGGGCGTCGGGAAGGAAGGCGAGGCCGGGAGAGGCAAATGCAGTGACGGAACCGAACGCGTGATCTGAAGCTTCGAAACCCTGGTGTAAATGGATTGAAGTTTCGATTCTTTTTTTTAAATGGATCGAATCTTCCAATCTATGTAAATGAAGTGAAGTTTCGAATCTTTGTAAATGAATTGTTTTCCAATCTCTATATATGAATTGAAGCTTCGATTTGAAACTTTCGAATCTTTATAAATGAATTGAAACTTTTCGAATCTTTGTAAATCAATTGAAGCTACGAATCTCATATAAATCAATTGAATTTTCGAATCTTAATAAATCAGTTAAAGTTACGAATCTACGTTACGCTTCACAAAAATAAGTGTGTTTTTTTGTTTTTTTAAAGCGCGTGTTCGAGACGGAATTCGAGAGAAGTTCGAGACAAGATGTCAAGACGAAGGCATCTGATCACCCTTGTCCTGGTGTGGGGACTGTTCATATTACTGTGGATAGGTAATTTGGCCGCGTGTGTGGGGGGGAGGGGGTGGGTGTGTGTGGGGGAGAGGGGTGGGTGTGTGTGGGGAGAGGGGTTGGGTGTGTGTGGGGGAGAGGGGGTTGGGTGTGTGTGGGGGGAGAGAGGGGGGGTTGTGTGTGTGGGGGAGAGAGGGGGTTGGGTGTGTGTGGGGGGAGAGGGGTTGGTGTGTGTGGGGGGAGAGGG